TWYYAYSCKWWATAATTTTTGTCTCCTTTTCTAAAAAGTATACATGAAATTGTGATACAGACCACAGCAGCAGATATTTAAGAGCTGCACACTGTGCTTTGCATGTACAAATTAGGAATTTAGTTTGATAAAAGACTATAATTAAAAGGAATGTATGTTAAAAAGTATAGAGAACTGTTAGTTAGATCCAAATGAATAACYGCTGATAGTTTCGAAAGAAACTGTTTGGGGCTGCGTCGGTGGGAGTAACGAAATAATTTGGATATATCAACAAAGATGAAATGGTAAATTGGCCACCGTAACGATTACAAAAGCTGACGTTTCGAACATTAGCCCTTCGTTGGAGTTAGATCCTATGAGTACATGGGTTAAAATTGTTTATTCCAAAAGCATAAATCTATTTTGAACTACATTAACATAACACACACCCACTTCCTCCTGCAATTTTCCTCTGAAATAGCCTAAAAATCCCAATATCAGCTTTTCAAAATTCACTTCAGTAGTCTATCTACATTCATCAATTTACAGTTGATAACAGATAAAGTATTCTGAATTTAAGCCCTTAATAGAAGGTTGTTAAAATTGAGATTCACTATCAGCTCAGTAAAAAAAGATGTCACAATAAAACATTCTGGTTCCTTTTTCTTTTTTGTTAGTATATAAATCAGGGTATAAAAGTTATAGCAAATAACTTCTGCTATTTCAAAATCGCCTGAAATACGCATACATGTATGTGTAATAAACAACTGATATGGGGCTTACAACAAAAATTGGAAAGAACTCCTAGAGCCACAAATAATTCTAACACGAAGCTGTAGTCCCACAGGTAGTCTATTGTATTTTCTGCTGTTTTTTCAATCCAAGAACTGTTTGCATAACGAAGTACAGCGCTCCAAAGAAATCTTGCCCAAAATTTTGTCTTCTGATATATGACCATAGTTATGTCAAATATGCCCGAACCTGCAGTCCGCTAACTTTCCATGCTTTTACTAATCAATTGCTTCCTTATGCACAGTACACAATCAAATCTAAGTATGTATGTAACTGGGGTGGTCCTCTGTTTGTGACTAGAATGTCCGAATTTACTGATTCTTCGACAAGAAATGTTTTTCGCGCAGTTGATTGTCTTGCCATCTCCTTCTCGAAAGAATCGACTTGCAAACGAAAAATCCACGAAGAGAAAAATTCGTTATCTAAAGTTGATCGTCCAACTATAAACCTTCCCTTAGACCATTTAATATGCAAAAACACCTCCAAAATAGCCTAAGTTAAGCCAAGTAATTGTCAGAATAGTTTAAAGTTCGAATTACCATCTTTAGAACACAAACTATTGCCCTTAAATTTACCACGAGGTGAGCTGTAGCAAACGCGCATTGTCAAGCTAGTTGAAATGTGACCAACGTTACCTTCGTGGATTTCTGAAAAATCCATCCTTGACATGAGGAGAGAGTATAATTCGTGTTCCTTTATGCTTTACACATTAAAGGGTTGATAAAATGGTAGCTTGGAAGTCGCGATAACCTTGCAAAAAGGGCAGTAGCGTTTATAGTTTAGTTAAAAAATTACCGCGCCATGTTCGATGAAATCGATTTCTTGTTCGAAGGCACGATAAAGCGAGGTTACAAGTCACGTTGAAATGAGGCTGGACGAATGAAAAATAGGTACTATGGGAGGGGAGGGTGACATCAGTTTACAGGAGATTTCTTTTATTTGATACTGTACCTAGACCTTCGAAATGCATTCTGGTTAATTGCATATCCCTTTGAAGCGGTGTTACGATGGCGGTGGATCATGGAGAATAATTTAGCAATTTTCTCGCTTACCAGAGATTTTTTTGTAGTTTTATTAGCGTTTTAGAGAAGAAGGACCTGTCATGGACACTTCAATAGCAAAGAAAACGCAAGATACATTAGGGAAAGTCATAAAGAAACCTCCCCTAACGGAAAAATTGCTAAGCAAGCCTCCATTTCGATTTCTTCACGATATTATTACTGAGGTACTCTTGATTATTGTTCCAAAATAAGATAGTATTTACATGAGAACTACATCTTGATACCTTCGTGATTTCTACAAACATTTAGGTGGTGAAGAACACTGGTTTTCTGAAAGGCTTGTACACCGCTGATGAGATGGACTCGGCGAATGTCAAGGTATTATCAGCTTGATAAGGCTTTCGATTTGGTATGCTCTTCTTTGAAAGCAAGTGGGTATATTGATTATTTTCTGTCCTTCCCGCCTCCTTTTTGGAGGAATAACAGCTTAAAACTAACTAACGATTCTCAATTTTTAGGAAAAAGAAGCCAATATTCTTTTTCTTCAAAAAGCAATAGACGTCGTAGGTAAGACACCGAGGTCATGTTATGTGTTGCTAAGAAACAGCCGTAACACTTCGTGTAGATTTTTTCGTTCGGCGAAAACACTGTTTATTTCTAAGCATTGAGATATAATTCAGAAAGTTTATAGAAAGTTATCTCTCCATCGAGGACATTTAATCTTTCGTTATAATACGACAAGCATTTAAATACAACATCGGGCGCCTGTTCTTCAGCACACAAGTGAGCCTGATGACAAATTGTCCCACGTAATTTATTTTTCCAAATTTGATGAATTTCACGAAACACTTAAGATTCAGCCCAGTGGTTTTAAATTTTTATTAGGTTCCGGTTAGTTTTCTTAAGCCAAATTTTGCTGTTTATTGCAATCCTATTCATAAAGAAATATTCTTGTTATCCCGACTTGTGAACCGCATTCGCACAGAACAGTTACAAGATGAGCTTTTAATATTTTTACAGGTACTTTCCGCGAAATCTCATTCAAATTTTTAGAGAAATAGAGCCATCTGCCACACCGATCTGCCGTTTGTTTTGTTCAATAACAGCCTGACCTTCCTACCTCGATAAATGGTTCATGAAAATTAATTGTAACAAAAGACATTAGGAGAAAAAAGTTCAAATTTTAATTTAAACGTGTGAACTAAACAGTCAGTTTGTGATTTTGGATCAAATTTGTTGCACCTCGATAAAGAACGGCTAGGTTGTAAATGATAAGGTTAAAGTTGACAAATGGCTACTAAGCATTAAATACATTTCCAGCAATTGATTTATCCTTGCATGTTTTGAATATATTTTGCATTTTCTAAACTTGCCTGACACTTCACGTTCCAAAATCTGATGTCCTTCTCCTGTGATGCAACTGTTCAGTTCAATAGGATTTAGTAAAAACCACATTTGCTGTTATCACTACCCGACAGGGTGTCATTTAATTTTCACATGCAGTATTTAAGTTTTACTTTATTAATTTCCACTTAATTTTGAGAGACTGAAATTGTGTGGTGCTTTTGTATTTATTTGTTGTACTTGGAGAGAAAAGAGAAGAGCATTTAGTTATTAGAGTAAAATATTTTATAGTCAGAAATATTTGGATGGTACTAATGCTGGTAAAGGTTTGCCAACTACCCATTGATAATGCAAATAGAAAATTTTAAATTGGTGATTTGTAATCCATAAACAATACAAATTCACCTGATTGTCCCTGTTGTCTTATTGAATGGTCATAGGTATGATAAATGGACAGTTGTCAGTACGTCCATCAAAAATTGTGGCAGGCCATGAACCTGAAAAGACAAATGAGTTCTTGCAAGCAATGGGCACTGCAATTTTACGCAAGGTAGGCCAGGTTTTTCTTATTGTCAAACTCAGAAAACTATCAACGTTGGAAATGTGTCTGGGAAAGTTCAATGTGTTTTGATCAATCACATGAGAGATTAAGACTGTAAGCAAACTTCAAAATCACAAACTTATCAGAGCTTTTGTGTAATGTTGAGATTTCCCCTCCATATAATCATATCTCATGAGATATTGGTGATGCTCACAGTTTTCTGAGTTACATTAAGGTTATCTACAGTTGCATTAGAATGTCACCAACTCAAAATCAGTTAAATCAAACTCCCCAGTAACTCGAACATGATCCAATTTTAATTGACCTCAATTTTCAGTTATTTAGCACTAATATTCAGTTAACTTGAACCCCCCTAACTCAAACCATATTTTGTTCCCTTGGGAGGTCAAGTTAGCAGAGTTCTACTGTTTATATGTCCAGTTAGATCACAGAAGAAAACTAAGTGGATGATGCATGAAAATTAATTTCAATTTAAACAATTGACAATTTTTCTTATGTATATTTTAGAGAAAAGTAGTTCTGATGCAGTAAAAAAAGTATTAGCAGGAGAAAAACCAGGAAAAGAACCTAGGTTAGTATTAAATATTTGTGATGTACAGGGGCTGTGTGATGTGAGCTGCTTGGTTAATTAATGGCATTAAATTTCAAACTTTTAAATAAGAAATTTTAGCTCAGTCAGCAAACTTAGTCATCAGCTTATACATTAATTAGCAACTTAATAGGGAACCTTTTTTAGCTGAGTGACTGAGATTTTTGTTGCAAAATCTGCAATCTTGGCAATTAGGCTGACCACCCTTATGTGAAGAAAAAAAATACTTTTTCAGAGGAGGCTCCTTAATGGATGCCCTTTACACATGAGCTGTGCATACAATATGATTTTGCCTGTTTGCTCAACCTTAATTGCACTGTGTATTTGCCATTATGGGACACTATTATTCACTTAGCTCATTATTTTTAACTAAATTCTCCTTGTTACCACCATAGGAAATAGATAAAAAACAGTATGGGGAATACACAAGCTGATATTATGGTATAAATGGTTATTACAGAAAACAATTTTAGGAGTGTTTCCCTCTTGCTTAACTTTCCCTTGCCATTCCGATTAATTTCATGATCATTACGTTTGGATCAAAAGTTTGTGCAATGGAAGGCTTATCACTAAGCCTTTGTGGAATTGATTAGTGACAAGAAAATGAATAAAGCCCTTAATTTGTTTCGAACTAGTGATAACAAAAGGAAAGATTCGAGAACTGGAAATGGAAGCAAGGATAAAGAGAAATCAAAAGACCAAGACAAGGAGAAAAGCAAAGATCGGGACAGAAGTAGAGACAGAGAGAGAGAAGATGACAAAGACAAACACAAACAGGTACTTTTCATTCACTTCTGTTACAGGATATATGATGTAACAATGCATTTGGTTAAGTTTTGATTACAATGGCAGCAAATTTGGCCACAGACACCTTTATCTATGTCAGTATAACTGATTTAGGTGCTGATTATTTAGATTTGAGTTGATATTTCCAAGAGTGAAACACTTATCTATGGTAAATATGTACATGTATCATGTTTCATCAATGGTACCAGTAAATATGTTTTTATGGTCTAATATTCTCATAATTGACATTTATCACCACAGTTTTCACTTAACAAAGAAATAGATTAACAAGAAATCAAGCTGTACATACTGTGCCAGTCCTGAGGTTTTATATCCCTGAATGGAAACCTTTCATTTAGTAATACATATTTTTAACTTGTAACATTTGTTAAGCTCATCAAAGTATAATTTTGAGATCAGATCATACTTAAAGCTTGGAAAATTCCTTGGAGAAATATCACTCATCAAATCCCTTAAGGCTAAACACACATTTTACTTTTGCATTTGATAGGGCGATTCTTCCAGAAGGAGGGATAGTTCAGCTAATAAAGCAGACAGTTCAGATAAAAAGAAAAGAGATGAATCAACCAAGAGAGAAAAAGAAAGAGAAAAGGAGAAGGAAAAACAATCTGATAGAGGGAGAGAAAGAGAAAGACAAAAAGAAAAGGTATGGGAAATAAGATAAGACAGTGTTTGAGTGACATGTACACCACTGTATGTGGTCTATTTGGCTGGATTGATCTTGGTTGCTGTAGAGTGAAGTGATGAGGAGTATTGCACAAGTGCTAAACAATAAATTAAACAGATTAAGGTTAACCCTGTAGCTGCCATGATGTAACCAAGACAGAATTTCTCCTCATAATCTCAATACGATATCAAACACACAAGTGATGAGTATAAAGAAAAACATTAATTAGGGAATTATTAATTAATTGAATTCCAAACTGTCAGAACTAACATAAGAAGAATTGTGAGGTAGACAGTAAGGAAAATTATTAAATTAATGAGATCTTGGGAGTGAAAGCATTAATCCTGAACCTCTCAATCCAGTGTCTGTGTTTGTGCTCTTCCACATTTATAATGCAACTTAAGTATCTTTCAGTTTTCCCTTGTGACGTTACTCGTTGCGTTACTCCTTTAGATTTGTTTTTGCACGTGACCTTTCCTCGCTTTTTATTGGATAGTGCTCTCAGTTTATATTATGGTCTGTACTAGCGACACGAAGTACAGTAGTCGGAATTTTCACTCGCTAGTGTTGTAAAAGCTTTCTTTTTCACCAAAAAACAATAATATTAAAATTAATATTGTCAGTTACATTGCTGGTGAATCACTTTGGACACTCTCCAAAGCTCAGGATGCTTTCGAGTTCACCTCTAAGTGAGATAGATCAGAACAGTGTTGCTTACTTTTTGGCCACTGTATGTCCCAGAAAAGGAGGTTAAAGGCACCACTGAGTGGGAATATTTTGTCAGAAGTTTATTTTGGAGATTGGTGATGTTTTTTTTTGTATGAATAAAACAAATCTTTGTGACTTTGTGTTCAAGCAGCAGAACTTAAATGCTGAAGGAAATGTTACAATACTGTTAGTAATAATCTCAAATGTGTGTTTATTTTCAAGTATAGTACACTCTATTTGATCCTAAAATGTCACTGTCTAATAGGACTGATACAATAACAACATCAAACAGAAGTCCTCCCCCAACCCCTTCCTTCTTATCTACAGTTCTTTTGGGGGACTAAATCAAAGGTATCCAAGTAAATTTTGTAGGATCATGGACAATCACCAATATCCAAAAAATTAAAATCCAAGAAGTTTTTTATGTTCAATGGTTATTTCCAAAGAAATATCTCGTGAGTATAATGACATCTGAGTGGAAGATTTTTTTTCAGACATTCAGATCTCAAAAAATCAATTTAAGGTATTTTATTTTTGATACTTAAGCTTCTGTTTTGGATGCTGGAAAATGTTGTGGGCCAAGTTTTGAGTCAAGATGGTCAAATAAGTTTTAAATGATACCATCTATGGATTAACATTAAAGTAAAAATGAAATATAAGGGGGAGTCCACTATCATTTCAGCAGCAGCAAAGCAAAGATGATGATGTGGTTGATGGAGCAACATCAGCTGCAGTTGATGGTGAATTGGAGGTAACTTGACCATTTATGGACATGCAAAAACCTTTTTTTAAGGGAAAAATGACAGAAATTGAAGTTTATCATAAGGAAAATTGGTTCTTACATCAAGGTCATACATGTAGTTACCTGTGGGTATCTGTTTGACCAGAGATACACCAATTACCAGTATATTCATTGTCTTCAACTGCCATGGTAAAAAAACTTCTTTTATGGGGAAAAACTTGCTTTTACATGGCAAAATTTTATCTTCCCCAGCAACTCTTGCTTTTCCAATGTAAAAGTTGCTCATTAATGGCAAACTTACTTTGACTATGGGCAATCCTGGAAAAAAGGGGTAGAGAAGGGAATTTTGGCAGAAAAATAAGTGTCACATTTTATTTGGCAGAATTAACCCAACATTCCTCAATCTACAACCATACAAATGTAGGTATTCTTTAAACCTTGAAAACAATTTTCTTGCCAGTCATCACCAAGCAGAGGGTGTTAACGTAGATATGGAAATGAATTTAATGTTTGATTTAATATTAGGTGATCTTGAGCAGTCTTTTTGGAAGAGGATTTGTTGACTTTTTTGTCTCTCTCTCCCCGTGCAGAATGGAGAGGTACCGGCAAGTCGCATTCCAAGACCATCCTCTGCTAAAGGTCAGAGACGAAGACCATCTGGGGAGGGAGAGGGTATGCTTGTGTGTGAAAGAAAACTATTTTGATTAACACTTCAGACTCTTTAAGAGTGTCCTAAGTTTTCACAGTGTGGCTAGATTAAGGGTGATTTAAAAAGTGTAAAATGTACCTTTGAGTTGGAATCATACCTTGCTGTAATAGACTTGAATTCATTTGGTTTTTCTTTTTTTTTTTTTTTTGACCCCATGTCTTACTTGGACATTGCAAACTAAAGTGTGATGGTCGGGAATGTTTTAACTAGTAGAAATTCAGTTTTGGCCAGTGGTTTTCAATTTCCTTTGGCCAGTTTGGCTAGTAAACAAACTGAAATTGTTGTAACATCTAAGTTTTCTCTAGCCACTTGGCTAGTAAGTTGAAAAGTTAGTGTCTAGCCCTGCGAGTAAATTTGTCTACTCTTCAAAAAAATCAAGAGTGGTTGCATAAAAATGTGGTCCCACTGTGTAGAATATTTTGTTAGTCTTTTCTCTTAGTTCTGAAGTAACAGTTTATGTCACTGCTACTGCAGTTTTTGTGCCCAATCATTCATTTTCTTATTTTGCTATTTAGATGTACAAGATGATGAGAATGATGGTAGGTAGTTGCAAAGATGTGCATTCACCTTTACACCATAACATCAGTAAGCTTTATTCATTTTGGTAAAAATTAGAATTTAAAAGTTGACACTGGCTAAAAATCTATTGTTCTGGACATTTCAGCTCTTACTGTTGCCTTCTTAAGCAAAGATAAAAATGCAAATGTCTAATGGCTTCTTGCTTGGTATATGTACACGATGTGTTATAAAACTAAATCTCAAAGGAATTTTTTTTATGTGTAATGGTATATTTTTAGCCAGTGTCAACTTTTAATTCTTTTTACCAAAAATTGTTAACATGCCTGGCTACACTCTGAATATTTTTATCAGTGAGCATATAGAATTTGTTTAAGAATCAAGAGTTTCTTCAATTGGTCATCATTAATTTTCCTTTACGATTGTGACCTTAATGTGTGATTCAGGGCTGATATTGTAATAAGAACTTATATGCCAGGGGTCAAAGGGTTAAATTGTTATATTTAATCACTTGAAATGAGAAGCTTTCCATTCTTTGGGTGCACCACTTTCAGAGTGACTCTTTTTGTACAGTGTTGATGTCTAGAATTCCCTTTTTGAGAAGAAACCTTTTTCTGTTTTTGTTGTTGACCTACCACTGAAACTTCTACTGGTTCATATGTACAACTGATTCTTATGTGATGGCTGACGAGATGGGAATTATTTTGACAATGTGGGTTTAACATTCCTTCCTCTTTAAAAAACCTAATTTCAAAAATTGAGGTGATGCATATTTTTTTTAATCAGTGTTTTATCAGCAAATAATTTGGATATCAACAAAGTTGAAATGGTAAATTGGCCACGGTAACGATTACAAAAGCGAACACTCGAAACGTCAGCTTTTGTAATCGTTACAGTAGCCAATTTGCCATTTCAACTTTGTTGATATATCCAAATTATTTCGTTACCCCCAACGACGCAGCCCCAAACAGTTTCTTTCGAAACTATCAGCCTTTATTCATTTTTATCAGCAAACTTCCTCAGAAGAAATCCTAGAATAGTGCCTCAGGAACTTTCATGTCTTGATTTTGTATGGAGAAGTTCTACATGTAAATTTATACAAATAGCACCAAGATCAACTAAACATACCTTGTTGGTTTGTAACAGTTATATTCTTGTTTTTTTGAGGTGCAAATACAGATGGACAACCCAGACCAACTGAGCAAATGAATGGGGTCTTACATGATGAGGACCTCCCTCCTCAAGTTCTAAAAAGGTAGGAAAGAAAAAGGGATTTACTTCAGATCTGCATTTATCTAGAGAGGAGAATGGTTTCATGTCTTGGGCTAATTGGGTCATTTATGGATTGTTCTGAGTAAAAGTCACAAGAAAGAAAATTTTACCAAGCATATTTGATGCTGTAATTAAGATCACTTCCATGTAGATATGAGATCGTCATGCCCTCGCAAATGTTTAGGGAAGGGCTAGAGCCCCTTTAAGCTTGTTGAGCAAGTATATTTTACAGTGCTATTAGTACCGACATTACATATGTTAGGTGCACGAATGACCAACAAATGTCCGCTAACAAAGCATATATGAAAATAGACTCCCGAGTACGATATATGGCACGCAACAAAAATGTAACAACAGGCAGTTACCCATTTTAACTATTATTTAATTAGTATTACATTGTCTAATTTACTTAGGTTAAAGATTAAGTTAAGCAGTTCATAAAGCAGGCTTACAATCCTTCATGCCGTGTAAGTGTTCGTTGTCTTGATCAACTTCCAATTCGAACATCCGCCGACTGAAGACCACAGCACTTGGCTTTCTTGATTTATCGCGTTCTTTCCTTGTACACAAATTCTTCCGGAGGACTCCATAGTAAACTCTGTATTCTCTATCTTCTTCCTCTCTCGACTATCGTCTTCTTCATCTCTTTCTTCTCTCCGGATATCACAAGATCAAAAGGTCATAGCCTCGTCACAACATAGCTTCCAAAAGTTCAGTCCTCGGGTAAGCCCTCGGGCAAATCCTTTTGTACTTCTCACAAGCTAGCTTTTATACATTTACTTTAGTTATCTAGAACGTTCTATTACTATTTATAGCGTATTACAAGTCGTACTATTTTTGGAAACTGCTGAGTCACATGAAAGAAGTTTCTGGAATATTACAGATTATAGATAATTCTAGAAAAGTCTGGGATTGCGTGACAGATTCAGTAAAAATAATTCGATCCTCGTAACACATAACATTAAATTTCTTTCTAATGATTAGTCGTAGTATGGTAAGACCAAGCAGTGCAAGGCCTGCCCCACCTAAGGTCAAAAAGCAGCAAGAGAACCTTGAAGAGCAAATAGCCAGGTACAGCTGTTTGCTTTTATTGATACTAGTGATTTATTATTTCAAAAGCCACATAGTTAAAAAAAAAAAAGGCACCGGCTTGTTGACTCTGCTGTGCCGCAGAACAAAAGCTCTCTTTACAACTATCTTTATCCTTTAACAAGAGAACAATTCGCAAAGGAAGCTTCTGACTCAGTTTTTGGCAGCATTTTTCATGATTCTTTGTTATCATAACCTTGATGATAAGAAGACCTACAGAAGTTAAAACTCAAGAGAAAATGACACTTATGTGGTAAACCAAGTGCAAACTAGTGGAATAAAGGTCTTCGGGGCAGGTTTTTTTTTTTTTAAATGGCTGAAACAAAATCTGCATGCAGGACTTTTTTTAAGTGTTTAAGGGTCCTGGGTTTCTTTCAAAAAGTACCAGAACTGTAAGACGGAAAGTAAAAAAAAAAAAAACCTGCTTACAAGAAGGAAGCATCCATGTCCAGGCATATTGTTGCTGTTACAACATTCTTCTATAATTCAGCCTCGAATCGCATTGCTGTTTTAGTGTGATTCACTTATTTTGTTTGTGAGCTTGTGAAGTTAAGCAGTGGCAATTCTCTTTTTTTTTTTTTTTTTCTTTTTTGTTGAAGGATTGGGTCAGGGAAACAAGTTGCCAATGTTATTGTGGATGATGGCAAAGAGCAGGATGATGAGGATGACACCTTTGTAGTTGAAGATGCACATGCAGTCCAAAATGATGTGGATGTGGTTAGTGGTTAGCCCTGTTAATAATCCCCATGATTTGACATACAATTTACTCTTCTAGCCACCAGACATTTCTTTGTAAATGAGTGAAGACAATTTAATGTGGTACCAAGATGCCACTGACTTGTGAATAAGTTTGTATGTAGTTATCAACAGTGTCCTGGATGATGTACAGATATTGTTAGGGGAAGTCTCATTTATAATCACTTCGGGTAATAAAACAGCTAAACATAGGTTTCTGACCAACTCAAGTGAACATATAAGTCCTGCTATGCTGAACGTGTGTACAAACTAGGGCTTTGTATTAATTCGTTGATTCACTTGAAATCATAGTATCTTCATATACATGATTCTCACGTCACCATCTTGCAATGCACAGTAAATTGCAAGGGAGGCCTTTTGGTTTTATTACAGAAAATCAATGAAACAGAGATGTGGTTTTACAATGGAAGTGGCTTTTTTTCTTCAGTAACCAGGCTTTTAAATTATGGTATTGTGTTATTTTTTCAGGCTCCTACAGGAGAATTAGCTGAAGAAGACGGGGAACACGGTAATATTTTTTGTGTTACATTAATTTTATTTATCTATGGTTGTTGTAGTTTTTTTTGTGGATAAAACTGACTTCCCCCAGTGTGCTCCTCTTCATTCATTATCATTCCTCAGGATCCTAAAAAGAGAACAAAATGAAAGTTCAAATGAGGGCTATAACTATTCTCTCGATTAAGATAAGAAACCAAGCTTTCTCGGATCCGTGGATCGGTGATCTAATAACGAAAGCACCCAATTAATAGACCAAGACAGAATTTCTCCTTACAATATCAATGCAATATCAAGCAGACAAGTGATGAGAATAAAAAAAATATATATGAATGAAGGGGTTGTTATTTGATCCATTACCAAACTCTCCGAACTTGCCGGATAAGAATAATATGGCAGACAGTTGGGAGAATTATTAACGAGATCTGGGGAGTGAAAGGGTTTACTTAGTAGTTTGGACTTTCACCTTTTTTAACGTGGTGCTGAAAAACCAAATTCTCAAAGTGACAAGAGAGTATCCTTTCCTTTCAGGGGGCCTTGTTAGAAAAATTCTTGAAACAAAAAAAGAGCTCGAAGGAGGTCGAAACCAAGAAACTAGACCAAAACAGGTAAGGGTTTTTTTTCTAGGAACGTGTTTTCGTGCAAGAGTCATATATATATCTGCAAGTTTGGTGAGGTCTTTTTACGATGTTATCTAAGCTTACAATTCGCTCGCTCTCAGTGTTGTCCCTTATTTTAAGCATGGCAGGTAAAAAACGTTTTTAAGCCAGAGGAGCAATCCTTTTACCTATTGAATTTTTAACGATTCCAAGCGAGTTTAGGAGGTGCTAAGTGATATTTCAAGCAGTGAATTTACCAGTTACCGCCTGAGAAGGAGAATACTGCATTCTCTGCCTCGTGTATTTTTGATTGTCGCACAGAAAAGAAAAACACTTCAAAATCAGTAACTGTCCCAAAAGTCTTAGTGATTTAGCTTTCTGTCCTGCAGGAAAGACAAGCTCCTATTATTTCGGACGCTGCAAGGAAAAAAGAAAGGGAACTTGCGCAAAAGGAGGTAAGAGAAACGTAACAAAGTGATCTGTAACTCCCTTTGCGATATTTTTTTCTGTCTGTGCTCGAATTAAATTGCATTTTTCATTTCACAGATAGAAAAACTCAGAACTAGTATTCAGACATTGACAAGAAGTGCAAATCCATTAGGAAAAATTATGGACTATATTCAGGTTAGGTTTGCCTAGTAGCAAGCAGGCATGAAAGAGACGAGGACAGCATGGTTTTATATAAAACCTCTTCTTCGATTTTTGTGTACTTCAGTCGAGACTGATAGATTGCAATTCTTGACAACAGGACAAGAGGACATGTTTGTAAAATCGCTTTACAACTAAGCAGTGGTTTAAACAAATTTTTGTGTAAGCAGCTGCTGATTGTAGAATAGGTGGCTGTGCCCGAAAAGGATGGGGAAGGGGGGGGGCGGGCTTAGCCCCCCTTTCCCCCTTGGGGGTTTGGGGTATGTTAAAGGCGCGGTATACCGCTGAAATCAACCAGCTTTTATTGTAACCCCTGCAACCAAGTTTAACCCTGTCACTTACCAATTATCAGTTCTCTTCTTCTCTGCCTTACATTTCTTATGTATTGGGTATTTAAGGATTTTTACAAAGTACTGGAGCAGAAACAATAGGACATAGGTCCCTTACGAGGTTTAAGCTCCAACAACAACAAGGGAGGACATCCATCACACAGTAATCTCATGCGTGGGAAATTAACGTCTCCTGCCCCTAACCCTGCAGGAGACGGGACCTCCATTTATTCGTCCCCATCCGAGAAGACTAAGAATATCTAACCATTTCTTGATGTTATAGAAAGGTAGCATATTCTTCTCAATTATTTTAAGACCTTGAGTGTTGGTCCGGCCGGGACTCGAACCCTGGACCTCCCGCACAACAGTCCAGTGGTCTATCCATTGAGCTAACCGGGAGGCTTATGATTTTTAACTCTTGGGAATTGGTTAGTTGATGTTGATATTATTCCTTCTTGTCGTCGCCTTTCTGCTTAATTACCTATTGGCATTGTGGGGGAGAACTTCGTTTTTGTCCACTTCTGGGAGTGAGGGGGTTAATCTTAAGAGAAAAAATATATATATTAAATGAACATAACTCTGCTGTAGTTTCAATGCTTGGAATCGTATATAGTCGAACCTCCACCAACCTATTTTACCTTACAACAGCCACTGTTTTGTTTTTGACCAGCTGGGAGAACCATGTGTTCACTGTTATTGTAACCTCTGCGCGATGGTTGCCTCTTTACGACGGCCATTATTTTTCTGCCGCAAAAGTAGCCGCTGTGGAAAAACTGTTTTTTCTTTTTTTTTTTTTTTTTTTTTTTTTTTTTACTTTGTTTACTTTATCTTTGATAACAGGAAGATATGGATAGTATGCAAAAGGAACTGGATCTGTGGAGACGGGAAAATAAGGAACATGAAGTAGCGTTAAGAAGAGAGGAAAGGTAACATACATGTAACTCTCTTTACTTGTGTGGTTTCTTTCCTTTGCTTAGTGTCACAACATTCTCACTAGTTTTCTTAAGAAAGTCAATATAGCTTTCTTCCACTCTCATGACAGACTGGCTTTATAGTTAATCTTCACTCAGGTTTGATATATTTCAATCTTTTTCATGCTTTCCTTTCACAGCATAACACAAAATGAGATCGCGCCCTTAAAATCACAGCTAGAGGAACTAGACACTGAAATAACAGAAATGGTAAGCTTTCGATTTTTTTTTTCTTTTATGAAACTAGAAGAATTTTCTTCACACAGATTGAATAAAAGGGTGAATATTCTTGTTCGCCAACCCCCTATCTCTAGGGGAATTTTACAGCAGGCGTCAGAAACTTGTCTTCCTTAAATTTGGTATTTCCCAGTGGGCATGATTTCCGTCGTTTTCTCCAGTCCGGTCTAAAGAAGAGGAGCGAAGGCTCATCCCGCAGTCAGCGGCTAGAAAAGGAGCCTAGTTTCTTCTTCCTTATAAAGAGGGAGGTGATATGAATTATGGGATATCCTAGGCCTTTTACTCGTGGGATACAATCTCGTGTCAAGTGTAGGTTGATATTAGAGGTTTTTTTTTTTCCGTTTCCTTTTCCAGGTTGACAGGATAAGCACAGTAAAGTGTAATATCTTGAGAAATGATGAAAAAATACAGAAAATGCTCTCCAGTGTATCACTGACATCCAGATGAAAAGGACTGCTTTGGTGCAGGGCTTGTAAAAATGTAAAATATCTCTCGTAAACAGCGGAATTAGGTTTAGTGTACAAAGGAGCACTCGACCTAAGTATTTATTTTAACGAGAAAGAGAAAATGTACTTCCAACAGATGGTTTATAGGAGCTTATAGTAGAGTTTGAAAGTGTCGGGAAGTCTCTGATTTATTGAGGTGAAGTAAAACCTCCCTTAAAATACGCACTAATTTCCCTGAAAAAAATTGTGCCTTTTTCTAGCAGGAAAAAAAAATCCCATTTTACGCCTACAATCGCCTGCATCGAGACCATAATTTTAAAACCACATAGCTAACGTCTACATCTAGAAAAGCAACGACTACGAAAACTATTTTCAAGAGTTGAGGTCTGGCCGATTATACTCCGACGCAAGTATTACTAAAAGTTGTACATAAATTACTGTATCTTTTCTTCCGTTGAAAATTTAATATAAAATGAACCTTGTCACAATTCTGTCACTCGTTTTTTATTTAGCATTGACATAAGATTGCTTTAAAATGTCTGCCAGATTATTGCAACCCAGTTTAATCGAAGACTGTCAAAATTTCTTTTAGTGGAAAATGATGGTGACATTTGAGCCCGGTGAACAATTCTATGTTCATCAAGATTATCGTGGATGATTGAAGCAGTCTTCTTTAGTGCTTACGTCCTGTAATATCAATCATTTGCTGTGAGAATGACAACATAGCGCTTGATCCATTTCTGGCCGTCTCTGCCAATAGAACGTTTTTTTTCTCTACTCAATGTAGCAAGATCACCCTCTCGCTGATAAAGATATGAAAATGAAGTCTTTACAATTGATCTTGTACAGTATATAAAAATAATTACCAAAGAATCGAGTACTTTTTACTTAACCTCTAATAGCAAAGTTACCTTCTACGTTCTTTCTTCATACCATTGCCATTTTAATACCTACTGCGAGAAGAAACTGATATCAAGTTAATACCGTACTCAATCTCTACAGCACAGGAATAAGTTTTAAAATTTAATATTTATGGTCGTGTGAAGAATTAAAATGGCGATGTTTCGATAGAATGATTTCAATGTTGTTTCTCTACCTGGAGTAATGTTTAAAAGTTTGTTTTGTCAAGGGCGATGGACAAAATCACAATTTTTAAGTCACTTTGTGGGATGCAGAGAATCGCCTTCAGAGCGGTTCGTAATTACATGTCGAAAAACTAAACCCAAGTCGTTCCAATGACAACCTAGCCCACGTCTAGTGGTATCCTCCCCCGCCCCCTGAGGAGAAAGGTGTCTTCTGGGAGGGGGGTACGGCTAAACGTAGGCCAACGTACGGCCAATCAGATCAAAGGCTCACATCATTATAGAATGAGAACCTAAAGCGATAACAGGCTCACTGCTTGAAACGAAGTCACAGGTCACAAGCTGCTGTTGGATAATTCCGAATCGCGATCCTTGACCCGTGATCAGTGCTTCACCCGTTCACAGGTACAGGAGGGATCACTCGTTGGCTTAACATATGGACTTTCAGAGAATAAAGTGAATGAAACAAGATGCCAACTGGGGGTAGAGATTCTCTACCGGACCCGAAGTATCTCTAAAACTTCGGAAATTCGTCGGCCTCGATCGGAATTTCTAGGGCACGAAGACCTAGTTGGCTACGGTCAGCATTAGATTCCATCCACCAAAACCACCTCGGTCGAGAGGGACTGAGGTGGAATACTTAACAACTTGCAAATCATAACCGAAGATTCTCGGAAATCCACGCGGAGACATAGCCGAACACCCGAAGAAAGCGCGAAACGTTTTATAATACTACCATCAAACAATAAATTAGTATGTGAAGGTGTAGTCTGATAGTCCGGGTGAGTGTCCGGTGACTACACCTTCACATGTTACCCCCGGGTTCAAGCCATTTACTACAATAAAGTAGTACTTACCATTTCTCGGTGTAAAGTTTTGACGCAATTTTCCAAACAAGTATTCCACTGAAGTCATCGGGATGAATCGGCATGTTTTCCTACCTTCATAACTATAAATAAGTATAATACGTCATGAGGAGTCCATCATTCCATCTCAGTCCCTCTCGACCGAGGTGGTTTTGGTGGATGGAATCTGATGCTGATCGTCGGCTTCTTGCAAGCAATATGGCGGACAACGTTCTACCTTGTTGGCCAGTGATACTGAACAAATCACTCGAAAACAGCGACATTCACCGACTTCTGATGCAGTTTCATAAAGTTCGGGGTAATCATAAATCAGAGTGAACATAGCTTGTTGATTTTATATTCCAAATAGACACCCACTGTAAGTTATACATCGAAACTCTCATCTTAGTTACAGACACAACGGGCCAAGGAGTGATAATTTTTCCACTCTCTTCTGTCGCCTTCATGATAATGCCTGTGAATCAGATACTGAAGGAGGACCAGGGAAAGCATTCACTTAATGAAGATACCGTAGAAAGGTATAAACAAACGTTTTGAAAGTTTATGTTACCTTTATTAATTGAACTACAAATCTGCAACACCTCAACGCTAGCTTACTGAATCCGATTACAATTTCAATGAGTCACCCCCTAATAACGTTACTATATTTTTTTCCTCAGGATACACAGACTAAATCAGTTACATCGCAGAGCTTATGTTATTCTTGTAGCTGCTTTCAAAGGGCCTGAACAAATAAAAGCTTGGACAACCTTGCAAAGCAGGTGGAAGTTTACGAAGTAGACACAATTCAAATCATTCGTTAGGGTCAAAACATTCTTAGCCTGCGTTGAATAAAACAATTTTAAGCCAAAAGTTGTAACAAACGACACCTACAAGCATACTCGGAAGAGCACTTCAAAAGATATTCTCATATAACCAAATACCTAAGGAAAAGAAAAATGTGAACTGTGACGTTATTTTCGTGTTCGCACTCCCAAGTTTGCTTCACTGAAGGTTAGACCAGCGAAGAAAATTAAATATATTTAACAACTATTCACCAGAGAGGAGGTGGCTTATGGTGAATATCAACAAAGCCATGAAGTGGCTAGATAGGGAACCATCCACTGCTAAACACCAACATTGAGGTGAACGGTTGTTTTAGTATATACTAAAACAGTATAGCACAAAAAGACAAATTTCATTCTTTTATACTTACAACAATTACAATATTTTTGAGTGCAAATCCTACATACGTTGTGAATGGTATGTTGCCCAAAGGTAAATAGTAAAGGATAGTTAGAGATGGAGAAGCCAATCAGAGTACACCTTCAGTGCTATCCACTGTTTTAGCATTTTCCATCAAAATTAAATATCCAATTTCTGATTTTAAACAGCCAAATTTATGGTACTAAAAACCTACCATAAAAAGGTGCAAATCCTACATTTATTTGGTGAGTTTTGGGTATACAAAGCCTAACATCAAGAAATATTTTCCTGCACATCAAAATTTTAGATAATTCCTTATCATGTCAAGACTTGATACAATTAGCTGTCACTTTTAATTACTAGGTTCGTAGGAACAAGTTCAAGGTTTATTCCTGCCCACAGTGCTAAAGAATGCTTTGACTGCATGATAGCCATTGCTAAGGTGTGTAAAGATAAGCTTCATAATCAAAAATTTCTTTTTTTAAATAGATGAAGCAAATTGTGACTACCTGTCATTTAGGTATACATGTACCACATGTAGCTTCATTCTCTCTTTTGTGCTCTTGATCACATATGGTCATCAGGGTTCGTACGCATCTTGAAAACCCTTGAAAACCCTTGAATTTCAGGAGGCCGATTTCAAGGCCTTGAAAGTACTTGAATTTCGTTTTGGGTTCTTGAAAGTCCTTGGTTTTTTTATTGAACAACATCGAAAAATATCTGCTTTTGTTTTGCACCATCGGTAAACCCAAAACATAGATGTTAACAGAAACATTTTTCTTGGTTTTGAGGTAAAATTGTCATTACAAAAAGTCCTTGAAATTTCTAAGTAGGGTCCTGGAAAGTCCTTGAAAAGTCCTTGAATCTTTGGCCTGAAAAAGTGTACGAACCCTGAAGTTAAGTGTTAATTTATTTGGTTTTTATTTTCATCTTAGAGAGAAACGTTTTAAAGAAGAGATTGAGCAGTATCGTCAGGAAAGACCCAAGATTCAGCAGCAGTTTTCTGATCTCAAGGTATTATTTTTTTTGTTATATTTTTTGAGTATGATTGCATATCAACAACATAGTTGCTGGGGAATTCAAAGTAACTAGTTAGAAATTTAATTCAGGTCTGTATCTTTGATTTTAGCGGAAGCTGGGTGAAGTGTCTGAAGACGACTGGTTGAGTATTCCAGAAGTTGGTGACTACAGAAACAAGAAACAGAGAAATCCTAGGACAGAAAAGTGAGTTGAAAAGAAAAAAACTCTTTACAGCTATTGACTCAACTAGCTGCTTCATGTAAGTGGAAAGTGTGTGCTAAGATATCCAGGTTAAATATTTCTCCATGGCTGGCAAAGTGGCACAGTCTTTATCTCCAGAACCTGTCAGCGGTGATTTGATCAGTGGAAGGAAAGAAGAGAGGGAAGTGTGATGTGAGGGAAAATAATCTTTATAAACTTCCTAGAACTACTAAAAGACTAC